TCCCTTGGTCATGCTGCGTTTGTAGCCCCTTCTGGACTTGCACTGGAATTTGTTGTTCTTGTAACAGTTTGGTCGGCGGTGGCACCTGTTGTGTGTAATATGTCCTGCCTGTTGCTTAAGCCGCAACGTCGGTTGGGGTTGCATGTGCTGCACTATAGACGCCTGATTCGCATGTTGTTCCTGCAGTCCCACTTGGTTGGCGAACTGTAACCTTTGCTGCTCCTGGACTGCTGGCTGCAGTGGCTTGGGCTGCGATGTCAAGTCGGGCGACATGTTTTCGGGACATGGAAACGCCTCTTCCCTTCCTGTCCCCCCCCCTACAGATCCTGATGCCTCCATGTGTCCCGAACCTACTAGGTTTTTCTCCCCAGACCCTACTTCGGCAGTGGTCACCCCCCCTTCCTTGTTCGTGGCCTGCTCGGAGACAGACCGTTCGCTTTGCTCTGACTCACCTACCTCATCCTCTAAAAGGGAAAATTTGTTGCCAGTGTTGGCTCCCCCTTTCTCATCCTCAGTTGCTATTTCCGTTTTTTCTTTCAGATTCTTTTTCTTCCTGACCACCACCCATGAATCCTTCCCCCGGACCCCGACCGGTTGATTCAGGTGTGTTTCCAAGGTTTTCGGGGTGTGGCAAGGGGTCAATGAAATCCACCACGTCGAATTTCTCGGCAAAATCCTGCATACAAGCTGCTTGTATCTCAATGTGGATGTGTCGAAATTCTACCCAGAAGCAGTGCCGTACCCCCGTTCACCGTTCACGGGAGTTGTGAACGGGGACCGGTCACCGTTCACGAAGTTCATGGTGAGCGGTAACTCCGTTTTTTTTTTTTTTTGCCTGGTAGGGGTACTTTTTTTTTTTATAGACGCGTGGGGAATGTCAAGGGGCACCTGCCCATTTTTTCTAATTTTTTTTTCGATCGGAATTTATTATTTATTTATTTTTGAAAAAAAAAAAAACAAAGGCCTACTACGGCCGTGAGATTTTCAGATCGGGTGGCAACGAGCCACGTTGACTGGAGGAGGGCTCAGGAGACTCTGAGCCGTTGCGCGTGAGAGAGAGTGAGACTCTGAGCCGTTGCGCATGTGTGCGCGCGCGCGCGCGAGAGAGAGAGAGAGACAGAGAGAGAGAGACCCTGAGCTGTTGCGCGCATGCGTGCGAGAGCGAGAGCGAGAGAGACCCTGAGCTGTTGCGCGCACGCGCGCGAGCGAGCGAGCGAGCGAGAGAGAGAGAGAGAGAGAGAGAGAGAGAGAGAGAGAGAGAGAGAGAGAGAGAGAGAGAGAGAGAGAGAGA